TCCAACAAGAACATAAAAAATTTAAAAAAACAAGATGAAGTAGGATTCCGAACGACCAACGAAAATACAAAATGAAAATCCTACTCGTGACGCAAATTCTACTCTACATTGCAAGGTGATCTGTAATTCTTACATAATAATATTAAAAGTACAATGTAGAGTAGAATTTGCATCACGAGTAGGATTTTCATTTCGTATTTTCGTTGGTCGTTCGGAATCCTATTTCATCTTGTTTTTTTAAATTTTTTACAATTATAATGGAGGTCTACTTTTAGTATTGGTGTTAAAAGTGTTTAACTTGTAACTCAAACTTTCTATTTCCTTTTCTATCAAAACTTAGAATGTTAACTTTGCATATTTCATCCAATCTGACTGCCTATAAGTTATGTCAATTAATATTCTGAATTTTTTTTTGTTATTTCTAAATAGGTACTGTCAGAATATGAGCAGCGAAATTGCTCCTTTAAGGGAAAAAATTACTGCTCTCCAGGATGCTTCTACTCTCCTTGAAAATGTTGAAAAGGAAATAAGTAAGCAAGGAGAAGACATCAAGCAAAGTATGAAAATTGCTGCAAATGAAATGATAAAAGCGATTCGGGAGTCTGAGAGTCAGCTCACTAATGAAGTGGAGGCAACAATGATGAATAAATTGCTAGTTGTTTCTAGCCAAAAAATGTCTGTTGATGCCTCTCTAGGTCAGCTGAAAAAATTTGATGAGTATTTCATGGACGCCATAAAGGGAGATAAGCCTCAACTAGCCTTACTTGCTAAGCAAAATATGATGAAACGAATGACAGAAGCCCTCGAGAATGTAAGGATGGAAGAATTTAATCCAATGGATAGAGCTGATATGAAATTTGTGCAAGGAAGTGCCAACATTTCTGTGGGGAATCTTGAATGTTCACTTTTGGCTATACAAGAGTTTAAGATTGAAGCTAGTGGTATTAAACTTGAAGGAAGAAATTTTGTATTTTCACTTTCTATTATTTTACCAAATAGCTCTGTTCGCCTCTCACTGCCAATTGAGTATCTTTCGTGCACTTTGGTACCAGTTTTTAGTGGGCCACCTATTTTTACAACAGTTTCTACAACTCCACTTCCTGGACTTTATCAAGTTAAATTAAGTTGTACTGGTAGTCATTGTTGTACTGTTGAAGTAGAGGTGCATGGTGTTAAGATCAAAGATAAGCCTCAAATCATGGTACCCAGCATACCCTTGAAAGCAATTGGAATAGATCTTGGTACAGCCTACTCTTGTGTTGGCATCTTTCATGATGGTAAAGTTGAAATTGTACCTAATGAACAAGGCAACAGAATAACATCAAGTTTTGTTGCTTTTACTGACGTTGAGCGTTTGATTGGTGACTCAGCTAAAAACCAGGCCTCTATGAACCCACTGAACACTGTGTTTGATGCAAAGAAGCTTCTTGGAAAGAGGATTGATGAGTCATCCATTGTGTCACATAACAAATATTGGCCATTTAAGCTACTGGAAGGTATGAATGGGAGACCTCTGATTGAAGTAGAGTACAAAGGAGAAGTTAAAATGTTCTGTGCTGAAGAAATTTTGGCAATGACATTAGGCAAGATGAAAGAAATGTTTGAGACATATTTTCACCTACCAGCAGTTGTGGATGCAGTTATTACTATTCCAGCTTCCTTCAATTCATTGCAGCGTCAAGCTACAAGAGATGCTGCAGCAATTGCTGGTCTCAATGTGATTCGTATGGTCATTGAGCCTGTTGCTGCTGCACTAGCGTACGGCTATTATAAAAGGATCTCTGAGATACGTAATGTGCTCGTTTTTGATTTAGGAGCTGGTTTTTTAAATGTTGCTGTTGTAATTATTGAAGAAGAAATATGTGAAGTGAAGTCTGTTTGCAGTAATTCTAATGTTGGTGGTAATGAATTTAACAAAAGGTTGGTAGATTATTGTAGCATGCAATTTAGACGTAAGTACAAAAAGAATTTATTTGAAAGTAAGAGATCTGTTGTTCGCCTGATGGTTGCATGTGAGAGAGCGAAAAGAATGCTATCTTCAGAGTCTCGTGCCTCAATTGAATTGGATTCGCTTTTTGAAGGGATAGACTACTACACTACCATCACTCGAAGCAAGTTTGAAGAAATCAATGCTGATCTTTTTTCTGTAACCTTAGAATTCATTGAGAAAGCACTTCGTGATGCTAAAATAAGCAAGGATGAGATCCATGATATTCTTTTAATTGGTGGCTCAACTCGTATTCCATACGTCCAAAAGTTGTTACAGGATTTCTTCAATGGAAAGAAATTAAACAAATCGGTCAATCCAGATGAAATTGTGGCATGCGGCGCTGCTCTTCAGGCAGCCATTTTGAGTGGAGATGAAAGTGAGACACTTCAAGACACATTTCTCTTGAATGTAATACCATTTTCTTTTGGAGTTGAGACTGCAGGTGGTGTATTTATGGCTATGATTAAGCGAAATTCTACTTTTCCTGCTAAGGTACAAGAAACTTTCACAACGTACTATGATAATCAGACTAATATAGTGATTAAAGTATATGAGGGAGAGAGAGCTATGACGAAGGACAATTCCTTACTTGGGAAGTTCTTAGTTTCTGGCATACCAAAAGCACCAAGAGGCTGCCCAAAGATTACTATCACTTTCAGCATTAATTCAAATCAAATTATTGAAATGTTTGTTACTTATGAAGGACTCACTACTCCAGGAGCTGTCAGTGCAAGTGCTGGTATTGAAGGTCTTTGTGAACTGGATGAACCTTTAACATTTCCATCAGGCTACATTGATGGCAGCAATGTCATTAAATTTCACTTTACTCCACCAAGTAGCGCGCTCACTGTTGATGACATGGAACATATGGTCGCAAATGCTAATCTTTTTAGAGCTGATGATAATCAACAGAGGCAACGGATTGCTGCAAAGAACCATTTGGAGAGCTATGCATTTGATGTGAAGGACAAGCTACGAGTGAAAAGAAATCTGACGGAACAACAACTTAGAGTGATTGACAAGTGTGACCAGGTCATTAAATGGTTAGATGAAAATCAATATGCTGATAAAGTAGAGTTTGACTATCAAATAAATGAGTTAGAGAAAGTCTGTTCTCCTGTGATAGCTAGCTATTCTAAAAGTGATGCTGCTTCTACTTCGAAATGACTCAATCATTTTGTCTTCCTGTGTATAATTAAACTGTATTGTGTGTTAGCATAATTATAGATTATTTGCAACAAATAATTAGTTAGTTTTTAGTTTGTAAATCTTGCATCTTTATATAAAAATTGTGACAAGAATTTTTGCTCTTAGTCAAAAGTGTTTGCTTTTTTGGTTGTATTTATTTTGGAAAAAAGCTGCTTAATGCAGTGACATTCAATTTGGAAAAGTTTCTGTGGCTATATTGCTTGCTCAAAGCCTATATTACAAAATTATTCCAGTGCTGCACTGCATGGTTTGGAAATATAAACATCAGTAATTAGCTTTTAAATTTATCTATTTGCTGCAAAATATTTCAAATGCCAGCCTGTCTGGTAAGGTGTAATTGAACCTGGGCTAATGAAAATTAATGCATACCATTCAAAAGTATATAAGAGGATGTATTGGACATTGCAAAATTGACGAGTATTAAATGCAGTTAGATCTGCATAATATAGAAGACTATGCACAGAAAAAATTGACATTATGCTAGCTATAATAATGATATAGCTCAGTACCTACATTCCTTCATTTAGCTCATTATACTATGATAGCCAATAAAAAACAATTCAAGTATATAAGTTTTACATGTTATTAGGTTGGTACACCGCCATGGTTGCAATACATGTTTCTTCAGAAAGCATTTTCTAATATCATGTACAATGAAATACGTAAAAATATCTAGTTTATTCATCAATGTCAAATCCAGATCCACTTTCTTGCTCCTCTTCCTTATTCTCTTCGTTGCCTTCACTTTTAATGCTTGGACATTCAAACTGTAGTTTAAATCCCATGCTTTGTGTTGAGTCCTTCTCACTCAAAAACAATAACAAGAAGTCTGATGTCTTGATGTGTCTGTTAGCGATAGAGTTTATATCATCACCAGTTATTGGCTGGTAGTGAGTATGAGTCTTGTAGTCAATGATTTCTAATGAATCTCCTTCAGCAATATCTA